CCCCTGTTTGATCTAGTGGAAAGTAAATTCCGCCGTAGTTACATGCCTAACCAAGAAATTTCTATTGACGAGTCACTTGTCAAATGTCACGGTAGACTTTTGCATATACGGTACAACCCAAAGAAACGAGCCCGGTTTGGGATAAAGTTTTATAAACTATGTGACTCAACAAATACATATGTTTGCAGTTTTAGCGAATTTCCCATATAGGGAATAAGCTATTACCGTAGTACTCATGGTAAGACCTGGATGCGGGACCGATTTTTTTTTTCGTTTTGAGGTCCCTAGAGGCCAAAAACACCATTCGTTCAAATTCATATATATATATATTTATATTTATATATATATATATTTATATGTATATATCTATATATATATATTTATATATATATATCTATATATATATATTTATATATATATATATAAGCACGATAACTCGAGCAAAAATGATCCGATTTTGATGAAATTTGGTACAAACGTGTAAACCTACGTTTATTCAAACGAGTTTGCGATCCAGCATGATCGGACCATGGGAACGGGGGTTTATGGGGGGTTTTATGGGGTAAAAATAGGTTTTTCCCATTTTTGACTCAAAAAACATAAAATTTTGCAATTTCTTTCTAAACCATTTTGTAGAGCTTAAAAAAACAAATAATTTAGTATATTGAAGCGTTATTATGCGCCTAATGGTTACGGAGAAAATTTCAAAAAATTATAAATTTAAAATTCCCATGTTATTCTTATGGAGAATAAGTAAACTGTTGTAGTTTGCTTGTTTATGAACATATTTTGATCAAATTTGGAAAATGTTTTTATTTCTTACTAACTATTAACATTAAAAAAAAACAGTTTTACCCTCCCTGATGCAGCAAACCTTAGTACTTTTTAAACTAAAATTCTATTTAAATCGGGAATAAATGTTATATTTTTAAGTAGACATTTCAGTGTAAATCCAATCAGTCAAATGGAAATTCGCTTAGTCTGCAGGTTTGCTGCGGCGGGGTATTGATATTTATGTTGGTAAGGACAAAATTGGAGACCTCCCGGCCAGCCAGAAAGTGGTACTACAAATGTGTGAACGATGTGACGTCCTACATATAGGATACAATCTTTATATCAACAATTGGTCGCTCTACCATGGGTGCTGTTGATGGCATGGTCCGCACAGTCTTGAGCGCTTTTGAGAGCGGCAACTATGCTTGGGCCACGTTTGTCGACCTAAGTAAGGCTTTTGACTGTGTTGATCATGGCATCCTACTGCGCAAACTGCAGTATTACGGGGTCCATGGTGGTGCACTCAGTCTCCTTGAGACCTACCTCGCGGATAGAAGGCAGGTGGTTTGCATAGGAGGAGAGACTTCCTCTATTGCTACTAGCAACTGTGGCGTTCCCCAGGGGTCTGTACTTGGCCCGCTGTTGTTTCTTATTGCTGTGAATGATCTACCTTGTAACTTAAATGGAAATGTTTTTCAATATGCAGATGATACGACAATGCTTAGTATTGGTAGAGATATATCTAACCTCAAAAATTCTGTTGTTCATGGTATCAATAGGGCCACAGAATGGTTTGCTGCCAACAGCTTTCTTTTAAATAAGGACAAAACCTTGGACCTAATTTTTAGTCTTAGGGAAATTCCAGATACTATAGTGTCTAATAGTCATGTAAAATTTCTTGGTGTTACATTGGATCAAAAATTGTCTTGGGAGCCTCATTTAAACCAACTTTGTACTAGGCTGAGTCGATTAAAGTGCCTCTTTAGGAAATTAAGTTGTGTAATCCCAATAGATTGTCTGTTAAATGTTTACTATGGCCTCTTCCAATCAGCAGTAAGCTATGGAATAATTTTTTGGGGAAATAGCCCACATGTAAAAAAGGTTCTTGTAATTCAGAAAAAGATTCTAAGAATAATAGCCAAAGTAGATGTTGTTGAACACCATAAACCAATTTTTATTGATTTTAAAATTCTCACTGTTGTTAACTTGTATATTTTTAATTTATTGTTAACTAGTTTTAAGAATTTAAATGCTTTTAACTGCCGTAAAGATGTCCACCAGCACAATACTCGATTCAGAAATAAACTTGACATTCCCTATGTTAGACTGGAGAAATCTAAGAAAAGTTATGAAATAGTGGGCATGCAATGTATTAATAAGATACCTACATTTATGTTCTCTCTCCCATATAATTCTTTTAAACAAAAAGTGTTCCAATGGCTAGCTGTTAATCCTTTTTACGAACTCAAAGAGTTTTTAGACCTTCCTTCTTCAAAGTTGTGTTTTTAGTTTGTCTTTGTGTTAACTATTATGCCTTCACCTAATGCCTACAACCTGTCTAATTTTATAATGTTTTGCTAACTTTCAAATGGTTGTTTTTACTTCTCAATAGTGATAAACTCTGTGATATTAGTTTAAGACCAATTAAATAACTTAAAATGCAATTTTCTTTTTTTCGTAGACTTCAAAGTACACTTTGTAACTTACTTCTTAATTTGACAACTGCTCTGCATGAAAAATGTTTGACTCTTCCAATACATTTGTAATATGTCTACTGGAAATAAACATGTCTTATGTCTTATGTCTTATGTCTTACAATCTTTATATCAACAATTGGTATACATCACCGATACTAATCCACAAGCTCTTCAAGCTTGGTACAAACACCTGTGGCACTGTTCAATGTGACCGTGCGAAAATGCCTAAAGACTTGAGAAAATGTAAGTTGGAAGTCGGCGAATCAAGTGCACGATCATTCCAACACATTTTGGTTATAAGGTGGCTTGACAGGAAAGACGTGTACATGATTACTACTATGCACAAATTGGACTACTGTGAAACTAATAAAAGGTGCTGGAAAACAGGAAATAGCAAAATAAAACCTCTAGCTATTCAGGCTTATAACAACAGTATGGGTGGGGTTGACCACGGGGATCAAATCTTGAGCCAAAATAACATATTGAGGAGGTATGCAAAATCATACAAGAAGATCGCTTTTTACATAATTGATATGTGTGTGCTGAATTTATTCATAGTACACAAACTCCTCAACGGCAACAAGGCAAATTGATCATTCGCCACTTTCTGGCAAGCATTAGTCGAAGAAATTATAAATGAGTGTGCGTTACCTGAAAGACATACGCCTTCAAACCCACCCCCTCAGCGCCTACAAGGGAGACACTTTCCTCAAAAGCTCCAACCATCTGAGAAAAAGGTTCAAAGACTGCCAAACGATGCAAAGTGTGCTATATTCATAGTAACAGACGTGAAATCACTTATGAATGTGACACTTGTCATGTACCTTTGTGTATTGATCACTTCAAAGAGTATCACACCCTTCGAAACTATTGGTTTGAACAATGTTTCTTTGTTGTTTTACCCTGATATGTGGACATTTATAATTTCAAAGCATTCCACACATTTTGAAAATGATAGTTTGAACAGTCTGTATTCATTGTTTTATAATACTTTACTTACCCTAAAATGTAAAAATAAAACGCATGATTTTATTTTACTCTTTTATTTTCCTGAAATGAATGGAACTCAACTATAATTTATTGGTATTTACAACAAAATTTCAATTAAGCCATGCAAAAAAGTGTTATTTAGTAAGTGAGTGCTATAGTATGGTAACTTGAGGCATTGGTGACGCGACGCTGCAACCACGACAGCGCCGTGCCGTGCCGCACTCTGTGCCATACTGACGCCATCTCGCTTACAGCTTTAGTCTCTATGTACGTCCAATTACCTTGTATACTGTGTGTATATATTTTAACAATTCTGTGGGTATTTTTATTGAACAATTATGCATTGATTTATTTATCTAAACTTTGACAAACAAAAAATTGATCTTCACAAAAATTGTGTGTGTGTGTGTATGTATGTATATATATATAAAAAAAATTTAAATTTGTTCAGCAAAATATTACATTCCTTGAATGATGTGATAATTATGAAATACAGGCAGGTATGCACTTATTTTTTTGAGAAGTATAACAAATTCAAATAGTATAATATTATCCTAAATACGTATAAATAAATATACATATAAAATACAAAATTATGTACAAATATACATTTTATTATTATTTTCAGCTATAACATACTATAAAACATCATAAAAAAATAGTCTAATATTTTTTAATTTTTTTTTAATGTTTCAGTGATACTGGGATTTTTGGTAAATAAATAAGCCGATGCAAATGGGTTAAACCCTTCTAAAAACATAAAAAACTACAATATTAATTGAAGATAAATGAAGATCTAACAACAAAAATCAAAAAGAAAATCAACTCCCGCGGTCATAAAAACGTCGTCGTCGACAATCGCGGCAAATCAAGAACATTTCTCGCGGCGGTGTGGACGTCATTATTGTCTTTCACGATCATGGAGACATGATTGACGTCATCCGTAATCGCGGCAAAATCACAAAAATTTTCTGTGGCCATGTAGACATCATCATTGACTCCCTCGGTCATAGAAACATCATCGTCGTCACCCGTCATCGCGGCAAAATCATGAACATTTCCCACGGCTGCATAGACGTCATCATCGTCTCCCGTGGTCACGGAAACGTCATTGTCGTCGTCCGCCTTTGCAGTGAAATCATAACATTCGTGGCAGTTTAGACAATACCGTCGTCTTCCGCCATTGAGTTAGTTTCATGAAAATCTCCCGCAGCTGTGTGAACTTCATCATTGTCTCCCGCGGTCACGGAAACGTCGTCGTCGTCTTGCGCGGTCGTGGCAATAGTGGTAATTTTCCGATCACACGACCGTGACGGGTATCAGAATCGACTTTTGACAATTGATACCAACGGTTAAGTATCGGTGGCATCAAGAATCCAGACATCCCTAACAAGATTCATAGAAGAATTTAAACATCTGTTTCATTATTTGTTAGGCATACAGTCAATATGGCTTTCTATCACTTTACTACAAAGTAATTTCTTTAAATATCGGAATGTATAGAGAGGACACACAAGTTAATGGAGGAATTTGTTGCAGAGACATAAGTGTTAAGCTATCAAATGGAGCTTTATGGGATGAGATGGAAAGCTCAGTGAAGTGTCCTGAGTCTGCTACTGCTGTCAATGTAGACCCGAGTCAACTGCCTCTCACAACCAATGATAATGGAGAAAAGGTAACATACGAAGCTTCATTAATTATGATAACTAAGTAAAACCAAATCCTAACCTATATTCACCTAATTTAATATGTAGATTAATATTAACAATGAACAGAAAGAATGTAAATAGGGCGGGAGTGTTGCACGACGTGCAAGTGCCACGACGTCCAATACTATTTGTTCAGTGCCACGACGTCCAAAACATAATTTTTGAGTTGTTGCACGACGTCCAAAAGTACAGTAACTGCCAAAAATATAGTCTTTCTACAAGCTTTGGACGTCGTGGCACTTGGACGTCGTGAAACAGCGCACTGTAGAATTGTAAAGAAGTATCATTTGCACCACGTCCAAAGCCTCTGCCAGTTGCACGACGTCCAAGTGCCACGACGTCCAATCAATATTTGACTGTTGCACGACGTCCAAGTGCCACGACGTCCAAAGTGCCTGCACACTGTGAACACTGTTTGGCGACCTCAGTGCATACAGTTCGCATTGCAATTATTGAAGGCAACTAGGCCTAGTACACTGTTTGAAAGTTGTCAACCGCTTCGTCTTCGATTAATGTTTAAATTATTCAATATTCAATGGTTCTAATTGAACTAATTATTGCATTAGCTTAAATTTTTTATATGTAAAATAAATACTATGTCACCGTAAAATGTAGTATTTCTGTTGTTATGATTGCATAATTGATTTCTACAAAATAGAGCTATGTCATGGAGACGAAATAAATAAATGACTACACTACTATATTGTATGATCAATACAATAAATTAATTACTAGCCCAAAAGTAAATATGGTAGGTTTAATGTGAGTAGTGGTAGAATTCTAAGAACTGCAGTAGAATAGAATTGTCATACTATATCAATTGGTAGCAAATTTACTCGTAAGATAAAATGTATGCACAGTTTTATAACAGGTGTAAGACTTCCCATTTAAGTACCGGTATCATTGAAATTGTCTAACTTCCATAGAACAGAAATGAGTTAAGTAGATATTGATACACAGATATATGAATTTTCATACACTTAATTATAATATGACGAATTCAAAAAAGGTTTATCCGTCAAATGTGCTAAATATTATGTGAACTATCACTCAACTTTTTAAGCTATAATGGTGTTACTACAATGGTTAAAAATGTTTCCTGTGAAACATGTATTTTTTAAACTAAAAGGAGGTTTTCTTTTGGTACAAACCTTGCTGTATTAGTGCATACGAAAAATAATTTCACTATTTTATGAGATCAATGTTTGACAACAAATGGTTGAAGCAGATATTCAGAGATGAGTGTCTCCAGCTGATGCAGTAATAAAAACGTATTTTAGTCATTGCACAGACAGTATATAATACTATAATAGTAATCTATCTATCTATCTATCTTCTATCTATATAAATAAAATTAGAGTTTTGTCTGTACATTGTTCAGAATTATAAATTTTTAGATTATTTTTTCGTTTTATACATTAAAGAAGCCGAAACAAGTCTCATCTCTATTTCTGTCTGTCGGTCGTCTGTTACGGCCCAAGAGGCATTTTACGCGGCCTTCTCCTGAAAAACAAGACTGCCTATCAAGATCCAAATCATTTTAATGTATTCACTGGATTGGCGAGATTGTCTTTAGCCATTAAAATATGGCCTCACTATTTTTTAAATAAATTGACGGATGTTTAAAACCCCGATTTCGTGCGATTTTTGTCAAGTTTTTTCCTGATGTCCATCACATATTCATCTATGAAATAACGTACAGCTGTTCGGATTATTTTTTCTAGCTGTCACTGATATGTTTACATTAAATGTTGTTTACAAATACCGCAAACGATTCCAATAACGTTTTGAAAGCAAAACCCAAACCAAGTGAGATTAAAAACGAGTTTCCTTACACAAAGGATTTAATTAATCGAAAGTACAATAATGTGTATTGTAACCGTAAATTAAATTAGAGATTCTTTGTGTATAACATTTTTCTGAAGTTTTGATAACCGGGAAAAAGACATTGAATCAGTGTTGTATAGGGCTGGGAACTTACATTTATAAAATCATCGTCGCCAATAGCTTACTAACAAGGTTTTCACTCATTGACGGCGTTTCAATGGCGGTTGTGTGAAGTGTAAAGTGAAAAATCATAGCTGCAGTGGGTGATTGTAACAGAGGTTTGCCGGTTTACGGATGATGCTAAACTAGCTTTTCCAATGTGTCACTTTCGGTTTCTACTCACCGCTATGTGCTGCAATCGCTGGACAACCCCCATACAGCCAATAAGCCCATAAACTGTATCTTGGGTACGTAGGCCTACCCAATTATTTGTCGCATGACAACCTATTCGACGACGATCCTTGATACCGGTACTTTTCCCTACAATACATGGCCTTACTAATTAGGAAATCAAATTAAAAACGTTAAAAACACAACATTGTGTAATTTTTTCGCATTTCTTTCTTATGTTAACTACATATACGAAACATAGTTTAGAGAATACGCAATCTTTTGAATAACAAAAATCTGTTTGGATGAGATTGTTTTGTTCAAACTGTCACCAAAATGTTTACATAAAAAGTTGTTTACAAATAATTCAATTAAAGAGAAATAACTTTGATTTTCGATAACTTTTTGTCAGAAAATCCAAAACCAAGAGAGATCAATATCCTCGGAACTGGATTAACGCATTTAATTGGTTGGATGTACTATACTTCTTAACTGTAAACGTTGGTTTTTGGTACTGGTATTTTCCTTAAAACCGGTGGTATCAACAAGAATAATTTTTACGTACCAACACATCACTATTTACAAATTAGTTATCGCACCTTATTTATTACAGTAGTATTCAATTTAACTGATGTCTTACTGTATAAGTTTTGCTTTTTCTTTATATGTCATAATATTAGGTTTATATATAATAGTTTTGCCAGCACGTCTGAAAATATGCAAACCAACTGCTGTTCTTTATATAATAAGGTTTAAACTGACTACTATAATATCCCCGTGCGTAGAACGGGCACACAGCTAGTACTATTATAAAGAAGAGGTGGTGTCTGTGTCTGTGTGTTTGTATGAGATAATCTCAAAAAGTACTGAACCTACTGGGCTCAAATTGCACGCAAATGAAGCTACAGCTCCGAGGATACAAATTATACAACTTATTGTCCTAGGGCTCTGCCCCGTGGGCTTTCAAAAATTTGAGGTGAGAGATTTTAAAATATTGATTGATGGTATCCATGGTAACAAGAGCGAACCTACAAAATTTAAAAATGTAAACAACCAGAACTAAATGAATTTTGATTTCTAACATCTATATATATAATACGTGAAGCCGTATTTTGTTAACGCAACTCCTCCCTTTTTTGTGGACCAATTTCAACGTTCAAGGTCTCAAAAGATTCGTCTCAATATGTAGTTTTGCAATAAGGTTTTAAAACTTTAAAATGTCTACTCTTAAGGGCACGAGACCCTCTCAAAGGTCGTGTTTTCCCCATAAGAAATACATAGAACAAACTTAAAAACAAAAAACAGCTGTTTATAAAAAGAAACTCATTAGCTTTTTGGGAGTAGCCTAAATATTGAAGTTTTAACATAGTATAACATATGTATAAATTAACATAGTAGGTTAAGACCCAGTTAAACAGTTTTGTTGGAAGAACCGAAAATGCCTGAAGTTCAAAGAAGAAATATTGAAAACGGATGGAGGAGACAATTAATAATAAGGTATCTTATGCGTATAAGGAGAGTAGAGAAAGAGAGGCCTGGTCTAACAGATACACATCCATATACACATTCACTTGGTGAGATGAATAATATTTGCCAGTTCTGTTATGCAACTTACTTTGGAAGTGAAAAAATATACGAAGCACATAGTGTTGTCACGATAGTACAATAAACTTGCTTATTGTCAGATCAAATGAATGAACGTGAGAAATATTTACTTCTGACACTGAGAGATCTCAAAACATTTAGTACAAACAATAATAATACCTTGACTATGATAAGTTCAAGTAGTAAGATTATACCAAATCTTGGCGGACTTAATGTTTTTATTGTAAACTTTTGTATTACTAGCTCTACCTTATTGAGGAAAACACAAATGGATTGTTTACTTCTAGGTTATGTTGCCAGTTCCTAGGACAAATTTATACAAAGTTTTTGATTGAATTTTAGTGGCAATATTAGACATAAGTGAAGGAATTAGTGTTTATGTATTCAACGATCGAGTAGTTACAGTCAAGTTTTTTTTTATAATTCAGGAGAGGCAAATAATATACGCTGTTCAAAAAGAGAAAATGAAAATTGCTATCCAAATCTTATAGCTACAATAGTTATCCAACCTATTTCGACAAATGAATCCATACTATCAAAACTTTGGGACAGGTAGCCTCTTAAGAGAAATCCTACTGAACAACGTGAGAACGTTGTGATGCGGGTCATATACTATGACTAACACACAACACGTTAAAATACGTTAACATACTATCAATGGTGTTGCTGCTTTAGCCTATTCAAAGCAGATTATGGCTTTCCAGTTGATAACCCAGAGTTTATAGGTAAAAAATGGAGCACATTAAATGGTTGATATCACTCCACTTTTCAGGATTCTCTTCGGAGAAAATTCGTTTGATTAGGGGGATGTCTAGGCAACAGTTTTCTTAAATTCTCAATGCTGGAAAAACTTTGTTGCAACATGTTAGCTCGAATTGAAGCAGATCGTTTAGCATTTATTAGAAGTTATCAGTTAAAACTGAGAGCAGAAATAATGTAGGTAGGTGAACCTTGACGATACAAATAGAGATATTTAAAATCAGTTTCTAACAAGTGTTTAAACAACTCTAAGATGTAACTAGAATTACTCGAATTTAAGCATAACGTTTTCCTCGGCGTTATGTTTCATACTATGCGGTTCATTGAGCCGCACGGGTTCTCTAGTATTAAATAATGCACGAATATTAGAACAGAGAGGGTAAGGATTATAAATTTAAAATAATGATGTTACTAGCCCGAATGTAAACATTATTTTACATTACTT